CGGAGGACTTCCTACTAATACATAGGAAGCTGTTCCACCAGATTGACAAATAATCCCTCAGTCGGCAACCTTTGGTTGCTCTGGGTAACAGGGTTTCAATTGCTATTGTAGTATTGGAAGTCATCTCCACAGCTACAACATGTTCCAAAACCTAGTTATAACACTCCATGAAGTCCATTGGCTTCTATGGTAGTGTCTTTCAGAGTTCTAGACTCTCCTGGTTATTGTAAAGTGGATGTGAACGTATTGGTCTCTCCTTGAGATCCTTTATCATTCTATGCCATCTCCTTGTGCAAAAACATCCTGTTATCTATGGCCCATGCCAAAAACATTACATCTTTGAAGCCTATTAACACTCTGAGCAGTTGACAGATTTACTCTATTCTACTTCCTAGACCTAGCTGAAGGTCCCCTCTCATATACTCTGTGAACAGGATCTGGTCAGATGGACAGCGGTGATGTATATGGTATTATTCTAACACCTTCAATTCTGTGGCATTATAGTCACAAGACGCAACTAAGATTAATATGTATGATGACATGTGGGCCCCGCAAGGGGGCCTGAGGGGGTGTTGGTGTCCAGAGATTCCGATTCCGAGTGGGGTTACCCTACTTAGGGTGATTCCTAGGTATTAGATCCCCGTATTTCTAACAGTAACTATTGTAGAAAACAGCTTACTTAGACATAAAGATTTTACTAAATAATACAGAAATCTTAACCAAGTTGAGACTATACAGTAGCTGACTTAATCACTAGATTTGAACCTCATTGAAGCTCTGTGGATGGATCCTGAAAACGATCTGGATGAAACCTGTGAGAGAATGGGCGATATACAGATACTGAAAGCTATTCTAAATAATGTTTAGAATACAATCCTAAATAAGGGGCTTGAAGCACTTATCAGAAGTATACCACAGCGTCTACAGGCTGTTATTGATGCAGATGGAGGACCCACTTGATATTGACATTTGTAATTTAATTTGTATAATATACAGACTTCCATTGTTTACCAATCATGCTTATAGGATATTACTCATAGGTCTTCCATTTTCAGAAGTGAATCCAGCTATTTGCTTTTTTTTTTTTTTTTTTCATAATCTTATTTATTTATCTGTTTTAACGAAAGTAAGGCTAGAGGTTATATCAGCTCCTCACCATGCAGACCCGCACCTCCACCCTGCCTTGTTCTCAAGCAGCCAGAAGAAAAACCGTGACTCCAGAAAGGCACACGCCAGCAGCCAGGTGCCCGCCCCTAAGAGCCCACAACTTGAACATGGAGGGGTCTCGCCTAGAGCCACCAACATCCAACTGGTCCTCGGTTTAAAAAACTCCCCCGCAAGTCTCCCACACGGCTATCTACAAATGGTAAAGACAGAAAGCCCAAAAACCCATCCTTCAAAGCAAGGAAAAAACTCCCATCCCAACAGTTCACCCCCCGCCGAACAGAGAAAAACTCAAACCAGAGTAACCCCAAACCAAAGGCCGAAGCCAGTCACTCACCTACAACAACCAGATACCAGCCCAACCCATGCCCCACAGTCGTGACAAACCAATGGCCAGGCCTCGCCCATGAAGTCAAAAAAATGAATAGGTGCGCAGTATAAGCGACATAAATGTATGTCATGGGCATATAGCCCACAGTCGCAAGCAGGAGAAACCAAAAGGAAAGAGCGCCCGCTGTAAGCAGGAGGTATTGGCAGAACAAGAGCCCCAAGTCGTCCATCCGGGAGGGCTGAGGAGGCTGCCCGAAGCAGCAAAAGAGGGAGAGGTAGTAGGGTACCAGCCAACAGTAGTAGGATACCAGCTGACGGGACCGAAGAGAAAAAAGGGAGGAAGGGCCCAAGGCCTCAGTGCTGACCCAACCAAAACCAAACCTGCAGTATTACCGCGTCTCTCATGTAGTCCCTTGTTCTCCGAGAGATAGCGTCACTTAGTGGAAGGGATCCTACCGCTGGTAGGGAGGCGGAAGGGCGGGGTGAGGAAGGTAACCACACTTGAACTGAGTGACTAGGAGGGTATGGTCAAATCTCACCGCGAGACAGACCCCCAAGTTACTAGCCGAGGCGTTCCCCAACGGGAATCGTGCAAGTGGGGGGAAGGATGTCCACCACTGCCAGCACCGTCCAGAAGCGAAGAGAGAAAGCCGACCATGCCAAAGTTAAGTGAGCCCCTATTAGCAAGACAGGACTACTGGGCGAGCCCAGATAACTCCCCCATCAAGCAGACAAGAGACAAGCGAGGCCAAAGCGGGAGGGGATGGAAGAGTTAACCGTGCCCCTAGGCAGGAACCATCAAGGGGGCAGAGGGGAGTCGGGGGGGCCCACGATAGTTGACGTGGTGTTGCCAAACTATGTGGGAGGAAAATAGGAGCGACGGAGCGTGATCCAGCTATTTGCCGATACTAAACAATATATACGTGCTATTACTTGTATTTTCTAAACTGATTTAGTCCACATATAAATGCCACATCACCTTTTGGAAGTGAACTCGACTTTTGTCAACCCATTATTATGGTTCCACTCACCATAAACCAACAATTTGCTCACTCAAGTTTTGACAAAATAGAAATATATCATATAAGCCCCTCCTATACGCCAGAGCGGTTCCAGGGACATAGAGACAGGAAATCTACCTAGTAGTAGTCAGAAGGTGACTACCCGCCACGTGAGCGTGCTCCATGATCAGAAGCAATCTGTGTACCAGTATGATGCTAATACCTGGATATACCAGAGGCACGAGGAGGGGCTTGATGATGTGGGATCAGGATCTCCCCCGTCCAAGGTAAATTATCATTAGTTATGATATAATACGTAAAATTCACTTACAGTAAGCAAGCCCACATGCGGTAACATCAGCCATGAGGGGGGTGACAAAAGAACCACCCAACAAGATCCCACCCAGTAAAGCACTACCGTACACTATGAAAGAGAAACAGGGAAGGATTCGGAAAAAAACAAAATAAAAAAAAATCTGTGGCAGCGAGGGCAACGCACATTCGACGCCACTTCTTTCTATCTCACTTCCACCTTAATTTGGCGTTATGGTACTGTACTTGTACTAGTACCAATGGGGTGAGACCTCGGCTAACACCGTCCAGGTGTTACAGTAAAAGTCTGCTGTTGAATGGCCAACCCTAACCTTGGTCGGGACACAAATTTCTGTGCCACTCGGGACCCCTGGGCTCTACAGTAAGAACTTTTGACTCTGATGAGTGTGATGGATGGAGTATGACGTTATGGTGCCATGCGAGTGATTTTTAATGACCATCCAAACGACCCCTTCCTTCCTCTCAATGCGACACCGCCCGCTCACTGGCCGCTAGCCCGCCAGTGGGGGTAATCTCAGCTACACTAAAAGTATTGCTCGAGTGATACAACATGATCATCTGGCTTTAGAGTACTGTATGATATGGTACACCAGCAAGTTGTTTTTCTCTCTTCTCAGCCCGCACGTTCCAGGAATGGTCGGGTGCCCGGGCAATGATGTACGGTAAGTTATGTATGTGGTATCATATGAGCTGGTAGATAAGTTGGCTCCCTTCTCGGGTGTGGTATTAATTTGAATTACGCGGATGCTAGTAACCTTCCCTCCATCACCTTCCCCACTTTCGAAGGATAGCGTTCAGCAGCGGATGGGTTACAGCCATTCAGCCCCCGGGGGATTCGAGATAGCGGTTCCCGAGCGCCAGATTTGTATGCGAAGAGGAGGGAATTGCACTTGTAAAAAAGCCCCCGTGAAAGTCCTTCATTCCCGGGGCTGAATGCCTCTATTCGCATGCGTATGCGACGTTCTCATTTTTACCCATCTATCATACTACCAGCCCTTCTTCCTATCCTATCCTATCCTATCCGCTTCTGGTTCTGACCCCCGCTGGGGGGGGGGAACACCTGTGTCGCACATCGATCTAACATCTCCCTCCCTTCCCCTATCGTACCGGTATACTTCCTCGATCCGATCGGCTTGGTCCGGCTCTGGTTACACGTTGGTCTCGAAAGGCGAAGGGACCGGTGGGTCAGCGGGTGGTGGGCATGAAGCGCGCGAGCACCAAAAGGATCATGGCAAATTACAGTAGAATACAGTATCTGAGCGCATCCAAGCGTCGATATTAAATTCGGACTCAAGTATCAGGGTGCCGCTGCCGCACCTCCTATGATTGCACCGGATACTCGTACTAACTTAGGGACTAACTTACTGTAGGGAGAAAGCTTGGCTTTCGCATCCCTTTTCGTGGGATGCCGACATGGATGTATATCCTTGTAAGCAACCTGGGAGATCTACGCTAGGTATGGTTACCATTTGGGCTAGATGTTTCAGTGCAGCTGAACTGCGGTGCTTCTTTTTACTGTTTCTGGTGCCGGTAGGGGGATGCTGTTAGCCCGAGGGCTATGATGGCTTGTTGGCGGGGAGGGGGAGGAGGAATTGAGTGGAGGATTTGTTAGGAGTTGGTTGGAGAAAGGCCTGAGTTGGTACGGGTGAGATGAGGTGAGTATGACACTAGCACTACTCCAGTATCCCGCGATATCATACAGTACAATGTGATGATGGAATTCTCTCGTATGAAATTCTCGGCGCAGTGCCGTGATAGGAGGTTAACTTCTGCACTGCACTGCACTGGTACTGTGCGACACAGCCTACTGTACTCACACCTGCTTTCGGGCTGAAGTTGTAATTGCAACTCTACGAGTAGAGTACGGTACTAGCACATCCCTCTGTCTTCCTTTCCTGGCCTCCTCCACATTACTACTTAATTCACAATGCTACCCCCCATAACTGAGTCCCTGATTACTTCCACCTTCACTAGCGGGATACGAGTTGATCGCCACAATAAGACATTTTCATTTGAAAGGTCTCTTATAGTTAACTGATTCACCTTGTTTCTTTACCTCATCATTTCAACTAGCTGCATTACCTACAGCCCTACCAACCTCTCAACTTCCGGATTACCGGCCCATTAAGCCAATCATTGTTATATCAAGGCGCCCGATTTCCGCTTTTCACGATGTCTAATCCATTCAGCGATTCGGGGCCCAGAATGAAGAGAATTATCATTTGTTGTGACGGTCTGTCTCCACCGCTCCCTCCGAGCGAATCGAATTGAAGTGGTGCTGATGAGGATGGGGCATAACAGGCACCTGGCAGGATTCTGACGGAGGGAAACTCGAGGTCCCGACGAACGTTACGAGGGTTGCTCGTGCCTTGAAGAGTTTTACCGATGATGGTGTTTCCCAAGTGATTTATTACCAGAGTGGGGTTGGCACTGGAGGGACGGTGAATAGGCTTATCGGTGGTTAGTTCACTCCCTCTTCTATCCTTCATGCTTCTTCTCAATTAATCCTCCAAACTCTATTTACTGACAATCTTGTGAATCGGTGAATAGGCGGCACTGGGTTTGGCCTCTCGGAGAACGTCCGCGAAGCTTATGGCTTCTTAGCTCACAACTACCACCCAGGAGATACCATCCATCTCTTTGGTTTCTCCCGCGGAGCATATACTGCACGCTCAATCTGTGGCCTTGTCTGCCGCATTGGCATCCTAACGAAGAAGGGCATGGACAACTTCTACCAAGTCTACCAAGACTATCAGGCCAAGAAGTTTCGTAGCCAAAGGTATGTCCCCCCCCCTTAATCCCCAGAACCTCACACACTAACTCAGCGGAAACAGTGCGGTAGCCGAATTCCAAGCCCGCGAGGGTGGTAGCCTCGTCATCCCGAACGTCAGAGTCAAGACGATCTGCTGCTGGGACACGGTCGGATCATTAGGGATCCCGTCAACCGGTGTTCCCATAATCGGGGACTGGATCGCCGGGAACGAGCAGGAAAAGTACGGATTCCACGACACAGACCTGTCCCCGCGCGTGGACAACGCTTTCCACGCGCTCGCGCTCGACGAGCACCGTGGGCCCTTCACGCCCACGCTGTGGAAGAAGACTGACGACACCCCGGTCAACCTCAAGCAGTGCTGGTTCCCTGGCGTCCACACAAATGTCGGCGGCGGATACGAGGACCAGGAGATCGCGGACATGACTCTCTCCTGGATGATCCAGCAGCTCTTGCCGTTCCTGCAGTTCGACGATGACTACCTCAAGATTATCATCCATAACAGCGACGACCACTCCAGTGGCGAGTGGGCCGCTGGCAAGATCTACGACTCCGCGACCGGGATCATGAGGATTGTCGGCGGGAATACCAGGACTCCCGGGGGGTATGGGGACGGTACCGAGGAGACTATCCATAAGAGTGTGAGGATTCGCACGAAGGTTGTTTCCGGCTGGTCTAGCAAGGCTTTGAAGGGATGGACCTGGAATGAGAATGGGTATTGGGAGAAGGGCAGTAAGAGAATGGCGGAGGATCAGTTGGGATCACTGGAGAAGAGGTTGGCTGGAAAGGCGGTCGTCAAGGACATGCTCGGGGAAGATATGTCGTGATTTTCCAAGTCCCACTTAAGCTGTTTGAGTCCGAATCTTCCCTTCTGTGTATTTCTCTCTCTTGGTCTTTTTTTTTTTGGTGGTGGTGCCGCTTTTTTTTGTTTATCCTACTTGTTTGGTAGGCTTAGTCGTCTATTCTAAGGATTACCGTACGCGATAATTTGATAGGTATTGAGTAGTGAATGAAGGTTTTTTCCCCCCCCCTTAACGTGAGTGAAGCGTTCGTATGAAATATCCCGTCGATAAGCATGACTTCACATGAGATCCTCAAAAGACACCAGGGGCGGATTCGTATCCAGCTCTTTTCTCTATTCCAGCTCCCGCCAGCATGATAATACTATAACCCTTTATTACAGTAATACCCTCAACATCACTCCCCACCAGACTACTCACCCTGCACCACAGTGCACAGTGCTTATGCTATACCAGCACTCTGGCGCAGGACAAGTCAGGCGCGGTGGTACTACCATCCAATTTCATACATGCCGTGCTGTACAAATCCGCACGCTTACCGGACGACGGCAGCGAATTGCCTCGGCGCGGTCGTCGTCCCCGTGTTGGGTGCGCCGGTCGGGGGTGGTATGCAATGGGTTCTGGGCTTTTTTTAACTTGCCTTGTGTGCCCGGTCGGCGAGGATTGGTGGTGGTGCCGTGCGGTGTGTGACGCATTCTACCTTCTTCGGGGGGTTGAGGGGCTGTAAGTTTGCCGGGTCATCGATGGTTTGGTGGTCGATTGTCGTGGCGGATATCGCGGGCTGATTTGATTTCCGAAGTTTGGTACTGGAGTTTTGGTATGATATCTGGATAATAATGTTATGATACCACGCTTTCACTCACGTGCCCATTTTATCGAGTGATGCTCTATGCGAAAATAAAGCGCCGACACAATTAAATGTTTTTGATTGAGAACCCGTGATGGAATAAGAATTATAATACAAGTTCCAGCATTGATCCGGGATATCCTTCGTCTACCTTTTCCCACCCCTATACATCTTAACCGGATCCCTCCCGGTCCCCGCATCCCGCCTCCCAGTCTTCTTCTGCCTCGCCTTGCGAATTCTATTCTCCCTAACCTTCCTCAACCCCACATACCCCGCTGCCCCCCCCTGCGGCTTAAGCACCCCGCTCTTCCCCCCCTTCGGCAGCAGATACCCCGGCACATGCCGCAAGTGCGCCTGTACCCTAACCCGACCGCTCTCCCCATCGTGTCTAAGTGCCAGCAAGTCCTCCGGGTTCTCTTCAAAATGCCTCTTCAATCGCTCACTCTTCACTAATTCCACCCGCAACTCCCGCATCCGTGCCTCCCTCACGGCAATTTTGGTCACGGCCCTTAATGCGTCGTCCATTCTGTATCGGAAGGCGTCGACTTGCGCCATGTCGAAGACGTATGGCTTTATCTCCCTGCCAAGTTTAGCCTGGGATCTGCGAATCCGTTGGAGCGTTTTTTCGTTGTTTGCACAAATCGGGTGGGTCGTTGGTTTGTGCTTGCCGAAGAGGTGGGTAGGGATTACAAAGGAGAGTGAAATTCCGTTCTTGTGAGCACGCGCAGTGCGGCCGATGCGGTGGGTGTATGATTTTGAGGTTGTGGGAAGGTCAAAGTTCAGCACGCAGGCAAGGTTTTTGAAATCGAGGCCTCGGGAGATGCCGTACTCTTTGTCCTTACGGTTCTTGGCGTTTTTCTTCTTTTTGGATTTGGGAGTTGGTTCTGGTTCTGCTTGCTCTTTGGAGGCTGTAGGTTCAGGCGCGGGGACGTCCTTGTCATCATCCTCTTCGTCTCCGAGGACTTCGTTCTCGTCGCTGGCTATTATTATCTCGTAGACGTTTTTGTTAAATTCTTCCACAATGTGCAGACGGGAATTCACGGGTAGTTCGGAGTTCAGCACACAGCTGCGGATTCCGAATTGCTCTAAAAAGAGCTTGACTCTGTAGCTCCGGTCTATGTCCCCAACGAAGATTATGGTTTTGCCCTTTATGAGTTTTAGTTTGAAGATTACGTATAGTAAAAGAAATTTTTCGTCTTCGCTGCATCTGTTACATTGTCAGTCTCCTATTCACCCACTCGGCCGAGGTGAGGAGTGAGGGGTGCTTTACTTAACACAGTATTGCGTGAGTCCCTCGCCTTCCGCATCCACGTCTTCTTCTAGTCGCAGGATTGCGGGGTTCCGACAAAAGAGGGACTTTAGAGTTTCGACTTCGGTAGTGAGTGTTGCACTCATGAGGAAGGTTTGCAGACCCTTCGGAAGCGCTTTTGAGACGCCCTGGAGGTCATTTTCGTACCCGTATGACAGCACCAGGTCGGCTTCGTCGATTACGAGGTGGGTGAGCTGTGAGGTGAGGGACTCGGAGATGTTGATGTGGACGAGTGCCCTGGAGGGGGTTGAGACGACCACATCCTGCTTTTCAGAGAGGAGGGATCTGAAGATTGTTAGCGCACGTAGAGAGCGAGCAGAGGGGGAGACCAACTGCTGTACTTTCTCAGATATATTTTGCGCAAGATTGATTGAACGAATGTGTTTTCCGCAGTAAGCCGCTAAAGACTCGATAACTTTGTGAACCTGCTGCGCCAACTCTTTTGTCGGGACGAGTATCAATGCGCTTGTAAATCTTTCTTCGGAAGTCTAGCAATCAATCAACCAATCAGCCCCCCTCCTCTCTCCAATCAAGGAGAATAGAGTAAAAGAACAAACCTCCTTCCTCTTCAAAATCGCCTGCAGAACTGGCAATAAGTATGCCGCCGTCTTCCCAGATCCCGTCTTCGCCCTAGCTACATCACATTCGATCAGCATTCATCCTCATCAATTGATCCACAAGCGCAAGCAACACACCAAGGATATCCTTCCCCTCCAACGCCAACGGAATAGCCTTTGCCTGAACCAACGTCGGGTGCGAGAAATTCTGCTTGGCTATGCCCTGGAGTAAGCGCGGGTCTAGGCCGAAGGCTGCGAAACTTGTGTCGGTATCTACTTCTGAGGTGGTGGTTGCGGTGGCGGCAGTAGTAGTAATCACGGGGGTGGCATCTCCTTCACCTTCGTGCTTTCGTTTTGCCATTGTTAACGCTTTTGTGGTTATGAGTGGCGCGGCAGCGGGATGTTGATGATGGTAGGCGGGTTGGGATTTTCGGAGGTGTAATTGAAGTTTTTTGGGGACGGTGCTTGGCACAAAGTATGATAGATTGTCACGTGAACCTTCATGGGGTGTTACTCGGTCCGAGAGGTTTTTGGTTGGGGTGAATCTGGTTGGAGATTTAACAAGAAGTAATTGAAACAGAGAGAAGCAACAAAAGATCTTCTCCAGCTTTGTCAGGCTAGGGGAAAATAACAAATAGTACCCAGTATCGTAACTGAGAAATAAAGCAAGCCAGCATAAAAAGGGTCCAGAGAGAAAGAATGAAACAGTGACATATACCGGAAAAGCAATTTGATACCGTGCCTAAGGGAATATAATTGATCCTCCTCGGATAGTATAACATATATAGTAACTTGAACTAAATGTTAAGTACACTATGTTCTCTCCCATAAAGTAGGGGCAATAGTTGGAACATACATGCCCATAAGCTCTAGTTCCAGCAGTTCCTGTACTGAGTGGATGGGTGGTATCGGCCTTGCTCGTTTTTTCCCACTTACAATGGCGCCAACACAGCACCTCCCCTCTCCCCCAATTCAGGTAATGCTTGGTGCGCCCAAAATCCTCTCCATCCACTATTCTTGCCTGTTTTACAAGGTATCATGTATTATTCCCTAATCTAGGCTCAGATTACACAGCTCTCTAGCGCAGACAATAGCATACGTTGACCTCAGACATTTACCAAAGGTGTCATAGTATGGTTGGGGAGCTCTTGCTGTGACCGGACCATTAGAAAACATCTGCACAATTACCACACTTGAATTACTCGTGTTCCTAAACTCGAATTATCCTGGGAAAGTAAAAAAGGGGACAAATACAGAAAAAGGGATAGAGATTAATTTCTGCAATCCCCTTAACTTGTTAAAATAAAACCATCTGGCTAACGCGGTGATTTCCATCTATAATCTAGTAGTGGATAGCAAGGGTACGGTATTATGGTATTGACCTTGCTTATTACTTCTTTCAGCTTAGAAAGAAGGCAGTATATCAAACTACCTGCGATTGTAGAATATCAATAGATACTTAAAGCTTGCATTCCCAATTATACAACCGCCATTACTGAGTGTCCAGCCTAGGTGGTTTTCATAATAATATTATATGATACCGGCTCCTCTATCAAACCATTTCTCCATCCACCTAGACTACTAAAAGCCCTTGCCCAGTAACTCACCACTCCATAGAACGTTCCACCCACCTCCCGGTCGATATTGCATAGTGACGAGGGGTGATAAGAGAACCACAGCGGTGACGGGGCAACTGTGCATTGCTCGCGTAATGTGTCGTGGCTTCGTCTTTGCAGTGTTCGCGAACCTCCCCTCAACAATTACCAGATCTGAACCTTTCTTCCAATCCGACCTAAACCCCTTACTCAAATCACCAAACTTCACAATTCCACCACCGCACCGAGATTACATATATCCACTCATATGCAAAAAAGAAAACAGGAACAGTATACCATCACTCTTTGTCTGACTCATTCTAGCTACTCAGCCCAAGGATAGACAATATCATCATTCAAACTCAGCACCTCCATGTCGGATCCCATACAATAGTACAAGACCCTTTCGCTCTCAATGACCTCGAAGACCCCTGCCACGCCACAGAGAGACGGGCCCAACGTCTTCTGCCATTTTAGTTCCTGGTGGATGTCGAGTTCGATTCAGTTAGCCGTTTGGTGGATGGGGTAGGCCGTAATGCCGTTAGACGCCCTAATGTTGGGCCCAGAGAGTTAGTCGTCCATAAATAGCTCTAGGCGAGATGGTCCAGTCCCTCCGGGCAACAGGTTCAGGCTCGGTACTATAAGGGCGATAGTACTCGTTGAGGCAGTCATAGAGGCGTCCAAATGATCGTTCAGCAGTCCATCTGAGGCCTTCGGGCAAGTTCCAACAGTGCTGGAATGCTAGGTCGAGTGAAAATGCAGAATTGTAGTACAACCTGCTCCCCCGCACTCCCAGACCTAAACTCTGTAAATCCAATCCGGGTCCATAAGGGAGGGATGTGGAAGCAACGGGAAACGGAGAAAATATACGGCCGGTCCAGCTTAGGCCAAAAATAGAAAATCCGGAAAAGGGAAATGGCAAATAGTAAAATGGCAGTCCGCGATGGTCTCAGGATGGCTTCAATCTCCTTTACAAGGTCAGATGGGCTTGGTGTATGGGCATGAACCAGGGGCGCTTCACTCCTCGGAGAGTTGTTTCTGTGATATCGTGCTGTCGGAGGGGCCGGACCAGTTCCGGAATCCAGCGCAGCATAGCAAATGGCCAACCTTTTTTTCCACAAGAATGACGATAGCACGTAACGAAAGGCAAAACTTTTTTCGCTCCAGGAGGGAAACCAGACCGCAGGAAAAATGGAGGGGGATAATTTTCCTAGAATTCGCAGAATAAACATCGATAAGGTCCCGAAACGCGTAAAAGGAGGCCAGGTTAATTCTTTCTCGTATCCAGCAAAACACAAGTACGGTGAGAAAAGCAGCTTCGCACGCCCCTTCTCCCTAGCGACGATTCATGTCCTCCTTTTTCTCTCTTTCATCCTTCATCCTTCCTTCCTTCATGGGGTGCCGTGGTTAACTTACGTACGTGTACAAAAGAGTAGAAGAATGGAAGGAAAAACATACCACGTCATTATATATCGACCCAAACCGCACCTACAGAAAAAAGTGACTGCTTGCTTTGCCCCGTTGCGTGCTGCACCGCCCTTTAATATTTCAAAGTTGCACCTTTATCCCGCACTTGAGCCAATCTATCATACTCATACTCGAGCACTGTGCACAAAAGTGGAATTCTCACCCGTTCGCTGCCGGGTAACAAGCTGAGCTGAGGAGGCGGGGGAAGGACAATGTGGGAAAAAAAAAAAATGACACCATTCCTCGCCTGCTCTGCCATCCTGACTGATTGATAGACACTATCTATGGGTAGTGATATTCCTGCGATAACTGAATTCCGCATATACCCGGCGAGTTCATGCAAAAATGCTCTTCATCGATCGATCGCAAGGTTGGGAACTACGAGCGGCCCAAATAGGCAATACGAGCCCCATGTTGGGAAATCACCAGCACTAGAGCAGCCCACAGCAGGGCAAGGATAGGGTTCGAACAAGTGCAATAGCAAGAAGAGAACTCCCACGGTTCTATCACTGTCTATCAGCAATCCCCACTGCCAACCAACCGGCACCTCACCGTCCTGTTACTCGAGTACCGGTACTTGTATGGTGTAAGTAAGAGCCGCTCCCGACAAAACCAAGGTCTATCCTGCCATATATACGACAACTCCCTCCCAAGCGAAGTTCTGTCGGTCCGAAACGGGAAAATCCTGAGCGTTTTCTGGTGTCACCACAGCACTTGTTGTGCCCTACCGTATGGGTAAAAGTACCCTACTCGTACTGTGCGGTACGATCACTGTGCTCGAGAGTTTCTGAAGATCCGGCCGATTTGCTGGTTGATCGACTGGCTTGCCTTAGTTTGCTTCGCTGTCCGCACAAGTAAGATTCCGAATTACAAGATCGAGGATGGGAAACAAGATCCAAGATCCAACGACCCTGCTATTGACTTTGCTCTGGATTACTAGACCAGACTAGAGTTTTAAGAACTGCTGTAGGTACAGTTTCGAGAAATTAACCGCATCGTTTCCCGGTGCCGTAGATCATCATCATCTCATCTTCCCCCTCAAGTTTGCTACGAGAGCGTTGGTGATTATTAATATACCTGCGAGTTGTTGTTGATGGGGGGGGGGATTTTGCAAACGCATCGAAGGGAGGAATATCGATCGTGGAAATTTCTCAATTAACTTATACCGGTTTGATGGATCCGACATGATTTAGTGGGGTAGTGGTGGATGGATAAATTTATCCACCGCTACCAGTTAGAATGCCCGTAACCGGGTTGTTTCGAGAAACGCGAAAGAGTGTGAGTAGAGTACGAGTACCGTAGTCCGCCGATAGTGTGCACTGTTCACATTATGCACACGACACCTATGATGATGCTTCCTTTTTGCGATGCGCATTCTTTCTATTCCTTACCCACCCTATCCACCTATCCACCTACCCACCTTACCCACCTACCGGTAACCCATTGTATATACGAGAACCCTTAAAAGGTGAGCGGGTAAAACACCCAGGCAGAGATCTTTCTTGAATTTTTCAATTGGCTGTTGGTTCCTGATCGAGAGGCTCTACTGTATAGTACGGTACATACGGTACCGCGCTGTATGAGTACTGTAACCGTTTTAAAAAACTGGTTCAGGGTTCCGATTTCTCCGCTCGAAATCAGTTTTGGGGACCTTTCACGCTCACACACACACACCTAAAGTTTCCGTACCTACCCACCACCTATCCATGATACCTATTATCATATCTACAATCTCAATGGCAAAGTTATAGTTGAAAACAGGGAAAATGTCTTTCGCGAAGTTTTGCCCCCCTGTCGATATATCGTGTGTGGGACGATATACTTCTGTTTCTTTCCCTATTTTTTTCTTTGTGATTATTTACTCGAGCACTTCATCATCATACCTTAGGGCAAAAAAGACCCCCGAGTTTTAGGAAATGGAGATGTGATGTACGGTAGGTTACTTAAGTATGATAAGGGGGGAATTGGGGAATGGAGTGTGCCTGGATTGAGGGGGGATGTATGATGTCGTTGGGAATAATTAATTTCCCCTCTTCTCCTCCTCCCCGTATCGTACCATGGAATCATTTTATGATACTGTTCCCACGATAGAACTATGATGAAATGGTACAGCAAGGAGATATGGAAGGAGACTTTTGCGATTTCCAAGGAAAACCTCCCCCCTCCTCCCCAAAACACTTTCTCGCCCTACTGTATGATACAATGAACTGTATAATGCCATATCATACCACCTACATCCCGAAGCCTAGCAAGCAAGCAAGCAAGCAAGCCAAGTAAGCACGATAACCTACAAGGCTCCCGTCCAATAACCAACGCACCACCGCATACCATAATCAAAATCACGTGTAGAAACGGGGTCTAACTCCATCCACAGCCTTCCTTCCTCCCTTCCTTCCTCCCTTCCTCCCCCCCTTTCCAATCTCTCTCTCCCCAATTCATCTAAAACAAGCCTTACTCACCCATTCACCAACCAACCACAATAAAGCTCTACATCACCCCCCTCCCCCCACCCACACCCCCCACACTCCCAACCAAAAGGTAAAATCGACATTCATGCTACAAATCGGTCCTTTCTTTCTAACATGCTTTGGTTTGCACCGTTGGTGGTAGTTAGGCGGGCAAGCATTTTCGCAAATGCTTGCGCTGACGCGTGAGTAATTCAGGTAGGTAGGTAGGTAACTTGGGTAGGTAGTTACGGTACTGTAGGTAGGTATGTTAGTCGAAGTGGGAGGGAAAAAAAAAGTAAACAGCACCGAGATCGGGGGATCGGTTGGTAGATGGATTGGATGGATGAAGGAAGGGGGAGGAGGGAGATAAGGATTCTCATGTTACCTATCCTTGTCAAAGGTATGGTCAAGGGGGGGGATTTGGGACTAACTTATCTATTTATTCATCTTGCTAAGCCAAGTTTGGGAAGAAGGGTTGGTTTATATTCGGGTGGTTTCTCGATTTTTTTTCTGATTTTTTTCCGATTTTTCATACGATATTCGAGACGGGTTGTTTGCTTTTGGACTCGAAGAAGAAACGAAGAACGAAGAACGAGGGAAAGAAAGAAAGAAAGAAAAGGTGAAGGTGAAACTTTTTGGCGATTCTTATTGCGAGGAGCCATAACGATACACGGTTACTGTACTGCACTGTACGAGTACAGTACTACCCTACTACGAGTCTTCCACGAACGGACGAAACGGAGAGGGAAGAAGAGGTGGATAAGTCTCAGCTGAGCAAGTGCGATTTGAGGGTTCATTATTATTGCTATTACTTACCCGCTTTTGCTTCCCTGAGCTCGATTGAGATTGAGCCTTGGGAGGACGGGAAGAAGGGACGAAGGGTTGCAGTTAGCGTTACGTTACGTGGGGCTGCTGCGGCAGCTATTATAGCTTCGATCGACATATAAATTTGACAAGCCAGCCTTTTTCACGATAGTCGACTTTTCAATTGCTCCAGCCTCCCATTCACTCATTCACTCATACATTCATTCACCCGCTCAACCCCTCTTTTCATCCTCCCTCTCCTACCTTCTTCTTACAATCCCACGATCCCACGATCCCACGACCCTGCCTACCCGCATTCCCCACCAAAGCGAGCGAGCAAGACAAGCAAGAAAGAAAGACAAAAACACCTTCCCACCAAAACCACCAACCCGGACAAAACGAACGAACCCCCTCCTCAACAATGCCCACAGCCCCAGCCCCCCACGGCCCAACCCCTGCCCGCCCCTCTGCGATCTCGCAGACCAGCCACCTATCCTTGGAAAAGGTGATACAGGACCACATACCTAGCGTGACCGCCACGCTCCGCACGCTGCTCAACATCCTCACCGCCCCGACCATGCCCACCGCCTCGGCCGCGCTCGAGAGCGACCTGCGGAAACTGTGCGTTCGTGCGCAGGAGGGCGTGCGCAAGATGGACCTAGAGCTGCGCGTCATCGAGAGCGCGTGGGAGCGCGTGGATAAGGAGCGCTGGGAGGTGTGTCGTGGGGACTACAAGGTCGTCATGGGGCTTGTGCAGGAGGTGTTCGATGTAGGGCAAAAGAGGATGGAGGAGATTGGCGCGGCGGGCGTGGTGGTCAGGGGATTTGGGGGGTTGAGTGTTAGGAACAATCGGTAGATTGGGGGAAGAGGAGGGGGAAGGGGAGGGGGGGGTCTGTAAAACACTATTTTTTTGGTTTTTGGTTTGTTCTTTTGCTCTCTTTTGTACGGTTTAGTCCGGTCGGTCTGGTTTGTTCTTTTCATTACGGGTTCGGCATGGCATGGTTGGCGATGGGGAGAAAATGCTTGATTCTTTCTTCCTTCTCCTTCCCCTCTTTTTTTCTTACCCCCCCCCCCTTCCCCTCCCTTTCTCTCCATCTCATGATAAAGGTGTTTGCTTTCTTGCTTTCCTTCTTACAATATTTCCCTCTATCGGTATCGTCATCATGTTCGGAGCATGTGTGGGTTCTTTCTTTATGGTTGGGGGCGCTATCCTTTCTTACCCTACTCTTACTCTTCCCTCTTGAGCTTCTTACTCTGTTCAATACCCTTTTAGCGTGATATGATACAATATAGTATGAGCCGTTCTTGAAAGTCAACTTTTTTGATTTACGGTTGCCGGTAAACCTATTCTTAAGATTCTCTTTTCCCGTGAGAGTGGTGCTGTACGAGTACTGTGACCCCAGTATCTCACTCCAGAGTATCGCATCGCATCTCATTTCCCTTCGGAAAAGGCTCCGGAATCATGCTTTCTCATTATTACTCTTACCCAACTCACAGTGTTGGATATTGACATCCAGCCTACCACACAGGTTGTGTCATAAAGATGTCTATATGTCGTGGTATGACATATCCGAGGGAGTTTTTATGCACTCAAGGGACCTATTCATCCCACCTGGAGAGTAGGTCACTTGAGGATACAATCAATCACGATTATTACAACACACAGTGCAAGTGCTCCTACCTAAAATAGATGCACACTGCCATTCCGTTTGCCCAATTTTGAAAGCGTCGTCGTATTATGCACCTTTTTTGCTTCAAAATGGCTTTCGTCAAGCGGGATTACGATCCGAAAACACCCCTGCCATTCAGTCCCTATGATAGAGTCACAGTGTCACGCAAAGAAACGTACACAATATGGGAATACCTTAGGGGGGGAAACTTATAGGTGTAAGAAAGAAACAAAAACACCACGAGACGGAGCGAGGAAAACGTTCAGAAACAAGTATATGGCAAAACACTAAAGGGCGCCAACGCTACAACGAAATATGAAGAGTGAGCATGAGTTGGATGAAAGCAGGGGCTAGTGAAAGTTAGAGTCAAAAACAATGCTGGCATAACCCTAACCCATACTCTCACGACTTCATATCTACTTCCATAGTTTCGTTTCTACCGACTAACAATCGTCCACTTATTTCTGCATCATGAGCTGGACAAACTCGTTGTCTATGGAAACCACGTTAATATACTTTGCAGGGATGCAAGGGGCATCCGCCCAAGAAAACTTACAGTCGATCCTGCCATCACCGTCCTGATCTGCCTCCCTGATCATCTCGTCAACCTCGTCGTCTGTCAGTTTCTCGCCAATGGAGGTCATGACATGTCTCAACTCGGCAGCAGAGATAAAGCCATTGTTGTCACGATCAAAAACCTTGAAGGCTTCTGTAGAACTTATTAGTCACCACTACAATGATTTCGGCAGTTGATCAAAGCCAATTACCCCGAATTTCCTCCTCGCTGTCGGTGTCCTTCATCTTCCTAGCCATCATAGTAAGGAACTCTGTAGATTGTAAAAATAAGGCATTAGAAAAATGACACGATCAAGGAAGGAAATATCTATAGCGGGGTAAACAAACCAGGGAAATCAATGGTGCCATTGTTATCGGCATCGACCTCATTGATCATGTCCTGAAGCTCGGACTCGGAAGGGTTCTGTCCCAAACTCCTCATGACAGTTCCCAACTCCTTGGTTGTGATTTGTCCTGTGGGTCGTAGCCGCACACATCAGCCCCCGCACCACATATGCAATGCTTGATAAAACCCTTGTCGCTTATCAAACCCCCACCATACACAGTCATCAATCAAACGCGTTCCACCAGAGCCTTTTTTAATTTTTTCCTTCATATATGATAGGCTGTAAGGGCAAATGACAATAGGGGGTCTTTTTGGGGAAAGGAATATAACTACTAACCATCACCGTCTTTGTCCTAATACCGGGATCACGCTGTGTCAGTTTGCACGCCGCTGATTGGGTTTGGAAGGAAGTGGGACAGGGAAGCAGGGAGCGCAAAAGGTATGGATGAGGGGTTTGTGTGAATGAGCGGTGAAAGGGAAGTAAAGGGAGAACGATGAAGGGGATGGGAGAAACTTACGAAGAGGGAAAAGGCTTCCTTGAATTCAGAGACTTGCTCTTCAGAAAGAGAATCGGCCTGGAGCAATCATAGCCATTATTAGTTCATGGTTTGTAAGTACAAAGGGGGGGGAAAGTCTCGGCGGGGTAGAGATCTGCCCTTAAAGATAAAGGAAAGGAGGGGCTGTATGTGCCGTGACCACAAATGGGAAGAGA